CCCCCCCCCCCCCCCCCAATAGCGATTGGTGCCAAGCAACGCAGACGGAGCCCAACGTTTGAGAGGTTGCTGTCCCAAAAACTAGACAGAGGTACACCAAAGCAACAACATGATGTTCGAGGGGCAAGACCTTATGGTACGAGGAAGCAGCGAGCAAACGCCCAACAAACCCGGACGACGAAGCAAAACAAGATGCAAGCCTTGCCTGGCTGATTCTGACGTTCCCCGGCGATTTGACCTCCCACCACGTGTCCTTGTACCCATCCGTTGACCCTCCGTCCCCTGCAAGGTCCAGCGGTCCACCAACGCGGACGAACGTACGCACTTCATGTTTGTCTTTATTGAATTTGGTGTTGTCTTCGGTCAGACAGAAGGCCCAGGCCATGCTTCTTGCAGGAAAGATACACCAGAGCACGTGCATGGGATGGAACCAGACGCGTTCACACGAGCACACCAGCGCCGCAAAACCTTGCACCTCTTCCATGACTTGAACGCCAGAAAGTGCTCCGTGGTGATACGCCATCGCGTGATGGTTCGGAGCTTGATTGTCACACACAAAAAAGCATTGTTGCAACAGCGGTGCCCACGATACCGTGGCTTCGGACCTTAGCTTGATCTTTCTCCATGTTACCGCCAGATTCGTCCGTTCCGCGGCGGAGAAGAAGGAAAGACAGGTGTGATGTACCGTACCAAACCGCGCGGGTACGCTTTTGTTTCTGCCAACATGGGCCCCGGAAATTTCTTCGAAGGCAAGGATTACAGTCCTACACGGATGAATAGCCCTACCTGAGGGAGGGTCTATGGCCTTGAGCACCACCTTCATGGCAAAGCCCTCTCTCTCCGCCCTTTTCTGGACATCGATGCACAGCAGCGCGCCGCTGAACTCATGCACCAACTGCACCGCCTTGGAGTATCTCACGGGCGTGCCCTGCGGACGGGGGTTATCGGGGGGACGTCGACACTATTGTTTTTGCCTCCTTGTGTGTATTGAGACTATTGGAACCGCATCTTGGTGCTGAAGCGGAAGGGGGAGCGCAAGACCAACGCCGAGGTGTCAGAAAGTCCACAAGCACTCTTCCATAAAAGCCAACCCTGCGTGTCTTTGGTGCCCGCTTCCGCATACTGAGATGTTTGGGCGGCGCTTCTCGGTGCTGCAGGGGGAGGGGGGTCGCAAGGCGAACGCCACAAGATAGCCAACCCGACTTGTTCTCCCGCTTTCAAAGCGGGAAGTTGGTTTGTTACGGCTGTGGCATGTCCGACCCGACATGCACACTCATTCTGTTGCCTTTCGGCCCCTCACCCCGGATATCTCTTGAATGGATTTGGGACGGTATCGGTGTTTGGTACGTGTGCGTGCAAGCGCGCTCGCACAGTACCTGTCATGCTTGGCCGTGGTGGTTGGTTTTAAAGACCCGCCGCGTCTCTTGACCGCTCACAAGGCAGGCGCAGCTATTGCACCAAGGGGTTGAGCGCAGTGACACCAGGGGGGGGG